TCAAAGCAGCGGGCCGGGGTTCTGTCGCGAACTGACCGGTCAGTGCAGGAAACAAGGAGTTAAGGAGAATCATATCTTTTATGATATGCTAATAACGAATTTAAATGGGAGATTGGTGCTAGTTTGTCCAGCGATGAGCCTGCAATTCGGTGTCTGTGACGGAGGTGCTAGACACAAGCATCCTAGGGATCCCGCAAGCTGATTACGTCAGCATTGATGTCTCATCGCCTTGTCTTGAGTGTTTTTGTACAACCAAAATAATTTTAATGACCTTTAGGTTTTAGTTTCCTTTTGCGGGGGTCGTAGGACGTTGCCGAGCAGAGTCACAGTGGCCCGGCCAGCCCAGCAGGAGCACCGTTCAGGAGGAACCCCGGCACCGAGTGCCGAAACGCTGTTGAAGCAAAGGATGATGTCGTGGTCGAAGTTGTTTCGGTGGAAATTCTACACGCGAATGTGTTTTAGGTTGCCTTTAGGCTCACTATTCAGCCGCTTCACCAACTATTAAAGACGATGTCACCTCTCACGCTGGTCGCAGTCATCAGTGCCTCGTTCCTCGCATTCGCCACTGCGAAGGGCGCGGAGCCAGGAACAGGGCCAACGTATTCCGTATCCCTGGGTAGGTTTTCAACATAAAACTCTTTTGGTTTCCCGAACTATGCCCTCAGCTGGAGGAGCCGCGGCGGTGTTGTCGACAGCGCCGAACCCCACCAAGGGACTTGGCGTCATGAGCACGCATCCAAAAGTTCCACTATGACACTTCCAGAGTGCAAAACGTTCTTCACGTGCTTGAAATAATTCGGTTTCTTTGCCACAGGTGGCGATGGCGAATGCCTCGCCGCGGTCAACGCTGCTCGCCAGGCAGTTGGGTTCAGCCAGCTGCTACAAGCAGGAGAAGGAGATACAAAAAAACGGCTGCCTGGAGAGGTCACTTCTCAAAAGGAATCAGAAGATGGTTGGGCCTGGAAGCCGGTGTGCGAGTCCTTGATTCCAGTAAGTCGTCTGCTGTCTTAACAGCCCTACAGAGCATATTTACAGCCTGCGCAATGTAGCTTGGTGTTTCCCCATTCTCTTGCTCTTTCCAGACCAACGAGAAATTAGGAGATGCTGCAGGCTCTGGTGAGCAAGCTCAGTTCGAGAGCGGCACATACGCGTACCACGTCGTTGATAATCCAGATGCCGTCGACTGCACAGCCATTGTAAACAAGTGGAAAGGTGCCTACAGCAACTTTGATGGATTGCCTCCACCTAACAAAACGGATGAGGCGCTGTATCAAAAACAGGAGAACGTCTCGTTCGTGGCCCTTTACAACCCTTCAGAGAACGCTACTGCAGATTGCCGTGTCGTCACTTGCACTAAGACGACTCCTGCAACTGCAAGTTTCACAGCAACAAGAAACACCGGAGATAAAACGGAAACGGGCTCCGCTTTGATCTGCATGACCGTGCCTGATGTGCTTCCCAAGGAAGGAGGCAAGGCCCCTTTCACGTAAGTCCTTTCACCCTCCGCGCTTTCCTGTCCTCCTTGTATTCTTTCAGCAGATGGGACTGCCTTGTTTCTCGGCGTGCTTTTTGCAGGGAGGAGCAATGGGGACAGATCGTGACCGCCCTCGAAGGCTCTGCCTCCGCCGTTGTGCCCGGCGTTGTCAGTCTTGCATTGGGGATCCTTGGCCTCAGCATGCTGTGAAATGAAAGCTTTTTAAGAGAGGGATGATCCAAAAGGCTCTTTCCCTACGGTTGAAGGAAGCCAGAGTTTCGGAAGCCAGAGTTTCGCTATCTGCCGAGGTGTTGAAGTTCCCGAATAACATACTGCACACTCGATGCAGATAAGAAGCTTGCGGGTCTTGAGAGCATCGGGGCTGAGTAGGCTGCTGGCGGATCCTTAAACTACCCGAGGTACCGATGAAAGCCTGCCTATAAAATGCGCGATGAGCTCTTTTTGTGTACAGAGACAAACTGTATTTTTGCCTCTATGCTCTGCCAGTGGAGCTCCTGCGCTTCACTGTGAAGGCAGGCGCTGCTTGGCGATGAAGCTTTCAGCTTGCTTATACTTACTATACTTACTTTTTTTATGCTCCCCACGGTGCTGTCGGGCTCCATCATCATACTAGTGGCGGCTTCCCGTGAAGGGTTCAGCCTGCCAGTAATACTTGGCGGGTGTGGAGAGAAAATCCGTTCAGTTCAACTCGCATTCAGGTGTTTACGTAACTTGGCATTATATATTTTACAGCGCGCCAACCCACACGTGTGCAATGGCTACGGGCATCAACTCGTGTAGAACCAGCCGAAAAAGGTTCTACTTTGGGGGGTCTAAATAGCTCCGCCGAGTCTCAAAGCCTGAAGTACAGGCGAACAGGCAACAGGACGGTGGTGTCTCTCATCCATAGCAAATACATAATTTAGCCAGACATCTACGCAAAGGTCTGGAACCAACTAGCTCATATAGTATCGTTGCGGCCCATCCAGAGCCTCCAAATATCACTTGGATTTCGCATTATTAAGCTAGACCGTGGATTCCGCATTATTAAGCTAGCTCATAAGGTATCTTTGTAGCCTATCCAGAGTCTACCGCCACAGCTCTGGGCGTGCAAGGGCACCGTCTGCTGCAGACATCGCTCCCTAGAGAGGACCCATAAGGCTGGGTATCATCGCAGCGCCAATTATTATATCATCTTCGCTATTCATTTTATAATTCGAAGAGGATAATATGCNTCTCGAAGCAATTCGTATGCACCACTGCGTCGCTCGGTTGTGCATCGACACCACACAGGCGTGCACGAAACCGAGCATATGCATTGGGCTTAAGCCCCTGGCTTGTGCCAGGGGAACACAAATGACAGCGTTTGTAATTCATTTCTAATGTTTTGACCAATGTTCAAGCGGCGGATTACAGTCTACCTGATATGCTCCACTAACAAGGAGATTCGCACGTCCAGTGGCCCGGTCAACCTCGGGAGACAGGTATGGACACTAGCAGAACAGTTTAGCGGCGCCGAGACCCCACCAGAAAAAAGACGTGGAGGCTACCACTACTGAGGTGCTTGCTTATTAAGGGTAATTATGTCCCTTCTATGCGTGCATTCGAGGTATTTCAAGGTTTACGGGTCTCGTTTTTATTGTGAACGACAACTTCGAGCACTTGACGGCGCTTCAGTTTCTCTGTTTTCTATACTGGGAGAAGGTTCCACATTCTCTAAACATTATTGGAGGAGTTCGTCTTCTCTAAACAACGGGGTAAGACTCCAACCTGCCTTCCTCGCCTAGTGTGGTTGGTGGTCTCACTAACGGCCCCGGGAAAGGCTGTTGCAGATCTGCCGTGCCGGCACAGATATTACAGAGGTTGCGGGGGGTGTGGAGCGGCACGTAACGCATTTGCTTGAATCTCGTGCTTATTAGGAAGTCCTGAAGTTTATTTACCCCGCGTCGTCGGAGCATCCAAGCAGCCTCCGTAGCATGGTGCAGCAAGGTTCGTCTCAACTTGTCACTATACATACTTCTACTTGCGTCTAGGTTCGGTGCACCGGGCTAAGGAAATTGTTGACAATTCTTTCCAGTGTGTGCACATGCGTCAGCAGGGGGACTGCATACGCGCGCTTGTGTTGTTACCGCAGTAGTTGTACAAAAATGTGCAGCAACTCGTGGAAGAGTTCGTAATCTCCTCTGCGCACCATCACCACCACACACCCTTGTGCCGCCGCCCAGATGATGCCTAGAGCTTGAAGGGAGGCCAACTCGTTTTCGTCCTCCGCATAATCCACCCTAGGCCGCTCCGCAGCTGTGCCCATCAAACCCGGAGCTGACGGGGAGGGCAGCTGGTCTCGGGCAATTTTGCTATCCTAGGCGTTTTGGCTCCTATGCTGCATAACGCAAGTCTGATAGACGACTGAGGAATTATTTTGCAGCATCAGCTGCGATGAAAATCTTCGTTAGCTCGTTTACCGTACGGTCGAGTCACGCACTGCTCGGCGCGTGTTGCAGGCTTTCTCCCGTCTTTGACAGTGAATGCAAGGATGACATCAATATAATTAGTTAGCAGTCTTTTTTTGAGCAAATTGTTGGCTTAAGCACTTTACAAGTGCGCAGACATGCCTTCAAGGCAAAGCCTCTGACGGCGTGGTCGGCGCAGAACTGCTCGGCGTTGCCAGCTGTACCAAAGTGTGTGCCTCAATCTATGTCAAGAATCGCCTTGCCCAACCAATTAGAAAGTCATTATGTAAAGTATAAATGGAATTACACTTTTACTGCTTGTGTCTGCTACGAAAAACAAGCTGCCAACCCCGGTTTCTCTGTTGGCCTGCCTAGCAAGACACGCCTCCCGCGCACCGGCACATTGAGCATATCTGAGCCAACGAAAACCAGTCAAGCCACCGTAGCATTTCATTCTGCCGAGCATCCCTTCTTCATATGTAATTTGGATATTGCTTGTGGTGGAGGGATTCAACGAACTGTGTTTAAGTGCTCATATCGGGGACTCCAACGTTATATATGGCAACAATGCCGGCACTCCGCCTGCTCACGGTCGTCAGTGCCTCGCTCCTGCTCCTGGCTAAAGTTGATGGCAGCAGTGGGGAACCGCCTCAAACACCAGCAACAACCAAAAAAACCACATACGCTGTCGAATTGGGTACGTTGGCTGGCCGCGGGTGATGTTAAATGCTTGAAGTGCTGCAT